CGGATGCAATGGAGTTTGACTGAATTGGAAAGGACAAAACAAACTTTTGTAGGGTTTACTTTATAATAAGAATGAGGGCTTGTGCAAGAGGATATGAATCTTGCCCCTTCACCTCAAAATATGATAACCCTTTCGTCTAAACAATGCATCACCACTTTTGTATCACTACGATATGAATTTCGTCCCTTCACCTCAACTTAGCTTTACCAACTTACTTAATTCATCCTAACGGTTTCATCACTAAATGCAACTTTTCCAAACCCCACCTAATATGCACTATTTACAACCCGAATCGGTGCCCGGAACACAACCCAAACCATCACAAGATATGAGTTCTAAAAATAGTGACAAACAAAATTGACATACAAAGGAGGAAGAGGCATTGTGTTGTGCTTGAGTCAACATTTCCAAGGATAGCATGACTAGGGTACGCTCCGTGTAAGTGCTTTGTAGGAGCTCATTTTGGCCCAATTCCACAACTCAATAGGTCGGGAATACCATAGTGTCAACCAAGTATCTTCAAAGTTCAACAATTTCAACAACATTTTCAACTTGGTGATGGAAAAAAATGGTGCCAACGACATAGACGTTTTGCAAATGGCACTTGTATCGAGTTAAAAGTTTTAGGAAATTGTTTCACCACAAAGGTTGGTATGTACTATGAAATTTACACAAAGTGGATATGGGCTCTACCAATGTCGATTAAAAGAGGAGGCTCCAAAAGGTCAAGGACATCCGACAATTCTGAGTCCAACAATTACACACAAACTTCATGTATGCGTTGTTATATCAACCTTAACTAGGAGTTTTCAAAATATTCGAAAAACAAAAAATCAAACCGAAAAAACAAAATTTTGTGCTGATATTTATGTAAACTGAACCGAAGTTTTTGACATTTCCAATCTGGTTAACCGAACCGTTAAAATCTTCTGTTACAGTTTATGATTTTTTGTCATGGACAGTTAACCGAAAACTTTATTGCCTTAATAATTTATTCAAAATAAGATATGCAAATTGCAATAGAGTAACATATTAATGTTCACTATAGCATGTACAAATTGTTACTAAATGTAAATTAAAAATAAGAAATGACACTATCAATCTATTAGACCAATAACATAACCAATTTTATTAGCAACTAATGCTACGATTTAATTTAAACAACCACGTTTATCTAATATTGCAATGTTCATATGAAAATTACCATAATAAATAAATATTTTTGATGATCTTTGATTAAACTTTAAACATATATTCATCGTTTTAGTTTTTTATTTAATATTGTAGCCAATTATTATCCTTGTTTTGAATATTAACTTTTGAGTTTTTTTAGTTTCGAAAAACATTTTTTAAATCGTAGATGGTTGATAGGTCAACCGAATAACCTAACAAGAAAAACAAAAATAGGTTAACCGAGTTTTTTCAGTTTAGGTTTATGTTTAAGAAATTAACGAACCGATCGTTTCGGTTAACCTTCCGAAATATGATTTCGTTTCGGTTAACCATCCACAAACACCCCTAAAATGATGAAGACAATGACCTTGAATCGGAACAACCTCGACGTCCGATTTGAAGGGATAAAGCGAAAAGAACCACATCATCTTTTTTCAATAACTCTTCAGACGATAAAATTCAGCAACACTTGAAAAATGGACGAACACCTAGCTTTACATAAATAAAAGGTTATGGTGCAAAAGCAAAATGTAGATTTAGAAATCCTTAAAATGAAGACCAATGATTTGCAGGAGAACAACCTTGAAGTGATAAATAAAAACCGTAAGAGATAAATATTTGTAATTTTTATTATGTAATTTTATTTTTTTGAATTAATGAAATGTTTTAGTTTTAGTTAATGTTTATATCTATATATTCTTTTATATAATAAATAATATTTGTATTAAAAATAATAAATTTGGTGTGATAGAAAGTAGTGACCATTGGGTGTGGGCAACACCCTTGAAAATTGAGTTGCCAGAGTAGTAATCAGGGCCGATCCAACACATGGGCGAGTTGGGCCAAGGCCCCTCCCTGGGCCCGTAAGAGTAGTCTAAACCTGTTGTGCATTCAATCGATCATCACTTGCTATCAGAGTTTGATTTTTTTCAAGTTTCAATCTCACAATTTGAGTTCCAACTTTCAAGTTCCTATTAGACATTACAACCTGAAGCACAAGGACAATGAAAGAATTAAAGAAAGGACAATGAAAGAATTAAAGAAAGGACCTGTCACTTGGATTTTTTTGATTTCTAAATGACTTGGATTTTTTTGATTTCTAAATGACTGATTCTCTCCACTCTTCTCTTTAGTAAGTTCTTTTTAGTTTTTCTTTACTTTGTTTTTTTCTTATTTGTTTCTGATTTTTCTTTTCTTTTCTTGATTTGGGTGAATTTTTTTTATCTTACAAGTTGAATTCGAGTTCAGTTAAAAAGAGTTAAAGTCTCATAGATTATATGAGTAATTTAAGTCAAAATCCGATGCTGCTTTGTATCTGGTTCCTCTATTTGAGCTCCAATTTTTAAGTCCAACTGCTACTGCTCTGTATCTAATTCAGGTAAAATTTCTACTCCATTCTCCTTGTTTTTTTAATTTTCTTCAAAGCCTTTATGTTCTTGTTTTTTGATGTGAATCAAGAGGCATAAAGACATTTAATTATTTATTGAACTTATGAGTTCCGATTTTGTCATTTTTACTATCTGGACTGACTTTTAGAGGTAGTAGAAAGGTATAAATTTTTCCTCTGTTTGAATTGAAACCTGCTGCATTCTCGGTTTTTTTTTTTTTTTTTTTTTGTCTTCTAAACTTTTATGGTCTTGTAACTTGATGTGAATCAGAAGCATAAGACATTTAATTATCTATTGAACTTTTGAGTTCTGATTTATGTTTTTTTTTTACTTGGACTTTTAGAGACAGTAGAAAGGTATAAATTTATTCCATTGTTAGTTTCGAAAAATAGATTCTTATTTCTTATTATGTGATTTATTTTTAGATCTCTTGACATCTTGAAAGTGGAAAAACATAAACTTTGGTCGGGTTGTATCTTTCGTTGCTTAACTTTTATAATTAGATTTGTTGAATTTTAAATATGTTTCTCCAAAAAACAAACATCAGATGCTTAAAATAGAAAACAAACAAAAGAACAAGAAGAGTGGAGTATGCAAGAAGAATGGATATGTTCCCTAATATGTTGGTTTCATATAGGATATTGTTGATTGTGCTGGTTACGGTTGTTTCCATGGAAATAAGTTGCTTTCGTGGAAAGAAGTTTTTCAAAATTGAAGCTCTTGAAATCGTATCTTCAAAGTACCATGACTCAAGAAAGATAGAATGGATTAACAATTTTAAGTATCAAAAGTGATTTTTAAAAAATATTGATTATTGTAAAATAAGAGATGTTTTTGCTTCAAAATATACACAGAGACATCGTTTCAGATGATTTTTGTAGGTTTTTGTTTGTACTATTTGTTTGATTATAAAATTTATTGTATTTTATAAATCTTTTATATACATGTTTTCTCTATCGTATCGTATGATACATAATAAGGGTATAAAATTATTATCTCGCACCAGGTAGTAAAAAACAGTGGACCAGTCCTGGGAGTGATGTTGTGATGGATACACTCATCAAGGTGGTTCTATTAATATTTAAATCATCGATTATTTTCAAAGTTTTATTAATTATCGTTAAAAAAATGTTGTGGGTCATCCCAGCTAGACCCTGTTGGTTTTGACACATCAAAAGACGATCTATCTTGACATCTTATTTTATTTGTCGTTTATGAAACTTTTGGTTTTGAGATTAATCTCCAACAAAAATTGTAACACATAATCTTCATTTAGATGATTAATATATTTAAACAAATATGCTATACTTCACCCGCAATGCTATTTGTTAAGTCACCAAATAAGCACATACACCCCTACGTGAGGTATCATTTGCTAAACACCCATAGTGCCTTACATGTGTGTTTGTGTGCCCATACTTGCACACACAAAGGGTCAAAGGAGTGTAGACAAATTAAGATTATATTTACTCACAATTTAAACCAGTGGCGAATCTAGAATAGAATAACACGTGATTCCTAATTAAATGAAGGCGGAAAAACCAAAGAGTCAACGCTATATGTGATAGATCGGGTCGGGTCGAACCAATAAAAAAACGACCAAGTTGTAAAAACTCGAGTTCAACCGGATAGAACAACTAAAAACTAGTAAAATTGGTCTACTTAACCCAATTTGTGCAAAAAAAAAAAAACTACTTTGCACGACCGAGTCTCTTTTCTTTTTAAAGAGTTCATTTGCAACAACCATTTCATATAACCAACAATATGAGATGAGTTGTATTGTTTTTTAAATTTCCTAATAACCATTCATAATTTATTTTTATGATATCAAACAACTTCAACTCTCTCTTTATCTCCGATGTGTGATAGGTTTTGTCGAATAGTATTAGATAGGTCATAATTTTTTTTCAAGATGATTCCTAATTTTTTTTTTCTATAAAAATACTACATAAATTTAAGAAATTAGGTGGGTCCTAGTTGTGAGTGGCTACGCCCCTGATTTAAACCAACCATATTGTTGTAATTACTTTTTTCCCTTGTACTTCTATTCTTGTCTTATATCATTTTAGTTTTTTTAGAATGACCAACAAACATACACCTTTAAGTCTTATTCAACTTTGTTCATCATGAAACTAAACCTCAACGAAATTTAACACATATTCAATCCACATGATATCATTGGGCCAAAAGCCTTTGGTTTATATGATTTTGGTTTGGTTGCATCATGACTAAATATAGTTTCATATGGTCCATAATTGGGTTTTACCAAAAGGACAAAATGGTTTTAAAATATCTACCATAAGAAAAAAAGTCGAAGACTGAGTAAATGTTACAAGATCTTCATACCCAAAACCTTATTAACAATATCTTTAGAAAATCTATATAAAATCCTATGTGCGAATACAATAAAAAATTAAAATCTTGATAAAGGCTGTGATGATTAACAAGCTGAAATACACAATAAAATAATTATACCAAGGTTACTGCTATTGCTACCAAGAACCAAAATGATTATATAATTATCCGCATAATACATGTTTAATTAATCCACTAAAACAAACTATACACAATTCAAGAATCTGTTAAATTTTGAGGAATAAAATTAAAATCTAGAATATCATGGTGATACAGAAGCAGATACTTCAGTCCCAGTTGACTTTTCTTTCTTCTTTGGTGTTTCTTTCTGTTGTAGAATAGCTTTGTTTGGAATCAACACCAATGTCATGTTCCTGTCCCTAAAATTCTTGCTCTCCTCAATCGCTAGCTGCACATTACAATATTCTTATTTTTTTCAAAATTCAAAATACAATGTTGTTGTGCAAAAAGACGTAAATGCCCTTGTCATTTCACGTACCTCCCCTACGTCATCACGGAAACGTCGTATAAGCTCAATCGCATTATTTTTGAACTCGTTTTCACGTCCCTTCAAGTTTACTATTAGTTTCACCTGTCAAATTACCAAAAAGTACACGATAAAAAATCATCACATTTCAATTAACAAACACACACACACAAAGATCATAGGAATTATTTAAAAATTTTAAACCTTGTCACCATCTTTTAGAAACTTCTGAGCAGCCTTCAAACGCACAGTGTAATCATGCACATCGATGTTGTAACTACCAATAAAAATGAAGATAAAAGTTCATATTGTTTTCAATAATTTATTTGCATAAAGATGTGTAGACTAAATACCCCATTTTAAGCTCCTTTTGATCCACACGATGAGCTGGTATGAAATAACATATATTTCTGTCAGTATTTTTTATTTTCTTGTATTAATGAAACTAATATTAAGAGAAATAGGAAATTCACCAGAACTTTTCTTCTGCTGATCTCGTTTCTTCCTTTGTTGCTCATATTTATATTTGCTGTGAAATTTGTTGAAAATGATGATAAATATCAAATAGGATTTGGAATTTTAAAAGAGAGATAAGTAAAATTACAAAGGAGAATATGAGATGCAATTTACTTGTAATCCATCAACTTGACAACAGGAGGATCTGCCTCTGGAGACAATATAACCTACAAAATTAAAATATTTCTATGTTAAAAAAAGAAAGATTTCCACAAAGCAAAGAGATGAAGCAATTAAAGGAATCCAAAACTTTAACATCAAGATAAGTAGATATGGAGAACATAGGACTGAAACTATAGGTCAAAAGGGCTAAAGTAATCAAAGCATTAGCATAAGCATACTAACTAAACACATACCAGGTCAAGTTCAGCATCTTCAGCCATCTGAATAGCAGCAGTTTTAGATACTACACCAACCTACAACAATCATCCAATCAGTCCCAACATAGAGACAAAGAACATTGATGTAAGAAGAAGAAGAAGATGATGATGATGATGCAGAAATACTCACCATGTTTTGTTCCTCATCAATAAGCCTCACAGTACTTGACCTATTTAGAACCAACAATAAGCAGAAAAGAAAGAACATTTCACACTTCTAGAAAAAAAAAGTGCAAATTAAGTTTGCTTTGGATGCTTATTGACATAGGTATAAACCTATTTAGAAGCATTTCAAACAAGCAACCAATTGTACGAACATAAGTCTTTCAGATTTTTTTCGCAAGTAGTGGGTAATCATTAAGCATGATTTTCAATTTGACTTCTAAAAGTTACATTTAACTAAAAAATCGTTGATTTTTGTAGTAAGCGTAGAGTGACGCTCGTTCTGAAATGGTGGTAATACCTGATACTAGAGATATCAAGAGCTGGATCTTCATCAGCAGGCGACTTAGGCCGCCTAGAATCTCCCTGTCGCGAATAACCTCCGCCGCCCCCGCCACCTCCATACCGGCAGGTGATACGACAGCCGCGGGAGATGGAGGAATTAGGGAAGTCAAGGTGGAGATGGGAGAGTTTTGATTGGAAAGCAGAAAGAGAAATTGGTTGTTTGAAAGGTTGGATAGAGCAGCTGGTGGTAACCCCAGCCATTGAATTTCTGCAACACCGCTGCGTCAGTACTTTGAAGGACACCTCTAATGGCAATCCATCATCTTATCCCAGTTTAACAAAGAACATTTAGTTACAATAAGAACCCTGGATTTTCATGGAAGTTGCAATTAAGGACCGTAAAGCTTTTTTTTCTTTTGAAAATGTAACGGAACTTGCTTTTGAAAGTGAAATTACCCAAAAAAATCATTATATTTTTTAGGGTTTTAGTGGCTTAACATCCGTATTTTATTTTGAGAATATGACTTATTAAGGTAATTAACCTTTTGGTTTGTTCACATCTTGGTAATTATGTTTTTTTTACACATTTAGGTAACGAACTTACCGGAAGTGTTAACATATGACCATTATTATCTGCTGTAGCAGGTTACATCCGATCATAATGGTCATATGTGAACACTTTCAACAAGTTATACAAACAAAACCAAAAGTAATAGTAAATTACACGAATGATCCTTGTGGTTTGGGGAAATTTGTGTGTTTGGTCCCTAACTTATTTTTTAACGCTGATGGTATCTACTGTTTATTTTTGTTGCGCGTTTGGTCCCTATCTTACCTAAAAATACTATTTTGCCCTTATTAATTTATTTTTTAATTAATTTTTTTATTTATGTATTTATTTTTTATATATTTAAAAAAATTAATAACCCCGCATATATGTATCTCCTCACCGTAAATCTGAAACCAGATTTGAGAAATTTAATCTGGGTCCCACCGGTTACCATCCCATCTCTCATCCTCCTCAACTTCTATTTCCTTTCAATCTTTAGTGACATCGACATCTTTACCATCCTTTGTTTTTCAGTCCTTCAACTCTGGCGATCCAACGCCACAACCCACTAACGATGAAGAGGCAGTGGGTTGTGGTGTTGGTTTGCCAAAGTTTTTATGATACATCAATCTTGGGGATATTTGTATTTGATACTTGATTTGATATGACTCTGGTCGAAAACAATGGTTTCTTTTAAGTTAAAAATGAAAAAAAATGTCGTGATGTTTGGAATGTTACAAGTTGGTATCAGAGCCCTGGTTTGAGAGAATTGGATGAGCATTCGTGTGAATCCAGACTCAAACTAAGGATATGTAAGGTTTTTTAAATAATTGTCAAATTGAATTCAAATTGTTTTCAAAAGCAACCCAGAAAGGAGGAGATGTGTACGATCAGCCGAAGCAAGAAAGTATACCCCAAGTTACCATATTGTTATTTGTTATTAATGATTATTGATAGAACTGCATGTTAGTGATAGGATAGGGATCTTCAAGGATTGCATGATAGAATTGTCTGATATATGATTCCCGATAGCCTAGGAGGACTTTTTGTATGTTAAATGAAATTGACATCATTACTGTAGTTGTTTAGTGTGTGCATCATAGCTATACATAACTAAGATCTTATAGCCTGAGAATGTTTGATTTAGCCTTATTTCTTGTTCTTGTCTGATGAAGGGCTTAGGGTAGGGTCAAGTATTCGACTGTCTATAGGATCCATTGTTATGTATGATTAACATGCCCGAGTGGCAACAGGGTTGGTGGAAGTTTCATGAGTGAGTATGTGTAGGTAACATGCCTGTTAAGGAATGATTAGCTACTATCGAGATAACGAAAATAGAATGTATGCATATCCTAGTTGTGAATTTGTTGTCGGGTAGTTTGTGATGATACTTGGAACCAATGAGAGTAAGTGTGGAAGGTAGTATGGGCCCGTACTACTGGAAGCATAGGACCCGTATGCATAACAATGAAGTCACAAACCCCGAGGGTTTAACATTTATGTGATGATTATATAGTACGAATGGTGACATTTTCTGATGTATCTATTGTTCTTTTTCAGTATGGTGTTCATGAGAGGATCTGGATCACGATCTGGAGCGTGTGGCCAGGATAGGTCGTGGTTGACTGAGGATCAGATTCGTGAGATGATTGCTGCTGAGATGGCTATTGTGATACAGAGTTCTATCCCGGATCTGTTTGGATCTATCAATACCTGTAACACCCAGAATTAGAAAGGCCAAGAAAGGAAAGGAAAACCCTAAGTCAAAGGGGTCAACTCGTCGAGTCCAAGGAAGAACTCGACGAGTCGAAGCGGGATCCGGGTGGAAGAGTAAGTGACCGACTCGACGAGTCGGTGAGTGGACTCGGCAAGTCTAGTCTGGGTCGGGAAACCCTAATTTCCGGACTTGGTACCCTATTTAAGCATCATTTTAGGCCTCCACCCCAGCCTCCATCACTCCCCTCACCTACTCTCGAAACCCTAAGCAGCCATTGAGTGTCCTTAAGCTTCTCTTGCCATTTTTGAGTGATTTAAAGCTAGAAGGAAGAAGGAAAACCTTGGGGATTCAAGAAGAGGCAGTAGATCCAAAGTTTGGGAAGCATTTCAGATCAATTGAAGGTATGAAGCTCATACCTTGACTGATAGTCATCTAGATCCTCTTCTTAACCTAGATTTTGTCATTTTTGGGCCATTTCCAAGGTCAATCCGAGTATTGAGCCTTTGTGGACGAAGAGGACTTTAGATCTGTGCATTTATGAGCCTTAGGAGCTCTGAGTGAGAAGCTTTACTCAGCCATAGCCTCATTTCTTGTTGTGGACCTTCATTTTTAGCTTGGATTTGATGTTCAAGCTTCATAGCTCTTTGCATGCACGTAAAGTTGTCTGAATAGGGTTGGACATAGAGGGACTCGGCGAGTCCGTTCTGGGACTCGGCGAGTCCGTTCTGGGACTCGGCGAGTCGAACCAGTTTCTTGCCCCGAAACCCTTCTGCTAAGGGTGTGAGTTGAGTTGGTTAGGGACTCAGCCAGCCTGAGTCCATAATGGTCTTGATGATCATCGTACTCGACGAGTTCAAGGAGGAACTCGGCGAGTCCGGGGCAATCTCCTTAGTTATGAAGGCGGACTCGACGAGTTGTTCATACAACTCGGCGAGTCATGGTCTAGACATTCATGGGATGATGATGAACTCGACGAGTTCAAGGATGAACTCGGCGAGCCGGTTGAAGTTAGTCCCGAGTGTATGGTTGAAGGAGGACTCGTTGAGTTGTTGCTAGACTCGACGTGTAGAGTCGGGGTTGTTTTGGAATTGGAGGACTAAGGACTCGACGAGTTGGTAGAACAACTCGGCGAGTCGAGTCAACTGGAAGTTGACTTTGACCGTTGACTTTGACCAAGTTTGACCAGGGTTGACTTTTGGTCTATTGTGGTCTGAATGTTGTTTTGGGTATTGATAGTTTGGGAAGCCGAGGGATCAGCGGTTCAGAAGTGCCAGTTAGCAGTCAGAAGTGTTCAGCAAGTCTTCAGCAGTGCAAGGTGAGTTTCCCTTTGTGTGGATGGGTCTACGGCCACAATGCCGACCCATGTAGTTATGAGTAGGAAGACCCGGGGGTTAGCCCTAGGCACAGTATGCTAGTATGACATTCGGGACTAAGGTCCCATGTTAGCAGTCGGGTGCCCGAGGAATGGTTTGTATGATAGTTATACTTGTTGTCTGTGTGATACATGTATGTGCCTGGTAGGGAGGTGAGTGTGGGCGAGGTCCCGTATCTCACCAATAGCAGAGTGTGGACGGTGTTCCATACCTCATTAGCAGCAGAGCAGGGGTGAGGCCCAAGTTAGGAAAAGAGTGAGTGTGGGATGGGCCCGTATCTCACTATCAGTAAGAGCGTGGACGGGGTTCCATGATTCATCAGTAGCAGGACAGGGGCGAGGCCCAAGATAGGCGAGGCCTTAGTACAGTAATCCAGTAGAGTATGTTAGTTATGTGTTGTGATATGATTGTATGCTAGTATATGTTAGTGGGCGGGGCCCGGAGACGGACGGGGCCTAAGGAAAACAGATCTGTACGCCGAGCGGGGCTCGAAGCCAGGTGGGGCCTGGTGGCGGACGGGTCCGATAACGGGCGAGGCCCAATGCAGCGGTCGGGAGCCCAGTATGTGGTTATGTACTCAGTATTATGTATGACATGTATGGATCAGTAGATATGTATGGTATGCGGTAGGTTGGGGAACTCACTAAGCTTCGTGCTTACGGTTTTCAGTTTTGGTTTCAGGTATTCAGTTTTCAGAAAAGGAGCTCGGGAGGGTTGCAGTGCACACACCATGACAAGTTAGCCTGGGATGTTTACTCTGATAATTAAACAAGTGTTTTGGAAATGAAACTATGATTTGTCATATAAACCCTTTTAGTATGTTTGAACGTCTTAACGCTATGAATTAGTAATGTTTTTAAAAGAAATTTTTGGACTCGATTTTTGGGATGTTACAATACCACCATGATTGAGGTATTTGATGAGGGTTATGTTCCATTGACTGAGGTTGTTGCTGCTGCAGCCACCACGGCTGTTGCGGCCATAGGGGTTCGAGGGGAGAGAGCTTTCCAGTACCAGGACTTCGACAATATGAAGCCCCCGGAGTTTGATGGGGTCATGGACCTAATTGTAGTGATGATGTGGCTATTTGACATGGATGGCTGTTTCTTCACCTGCTCTTTCCCTGATGACCAGAACGTCAAGTGCTCCCTAAACCTTCTCAGGTTGGGGGCGAAGGATTGGTGGAGATTGGTGACTAGTGCTTACACTCCTGAGCAGAGAGCTGTTGTTACTTGGGAGCATTTCTTGGAGATGTTCCATGCGAGATACACCCCTTTGGTAGAGATGGAGAGGTTGGCCCAAGAGTATTTGGATTTGAGGCAGACTACTGAGACGGTGACAGAGATCACCAAGATGTTTACTAAGAGGGCTCTTTTTTGCCCTGAGTTTGCTGCCTTGGAGCAGGCTCAGATGACCCGGTGCTTGAGCATGCTCAAGACAGATATTCAACAGTTCGTGTACACCCAGCGTTATGCTTCCCTCGCTGAGCTTCAGGACGACGTGAGGAGGCGGGAGATTGAGATAGAGATTAAGCCAAAGGAGTTGAGGCAGGCTCCTGTTCAGTCACAGCCTGCAGCAAAGCAGTTCAAGCCCGCTGATTCGATACATGAGGGACAGAGGGGCCGCACTTGTGGCAAGTGCAACAAGTTTCATGAGGGCACTTGTCGATCATCATCATCTGGATGCCACAAATGTGGCAGGGAGGGCCA